AATCTTTAATAAAAACCACATCTATGAACTTTTACATTTAAGGGTAACTACCCTAGATCAATGATATTTGTAGAGGGGATGTAGATATATAGATATAGATGTAAATGTATCAGTGGAACACTAGAAAGTAAAATGAAAGCGAAACGAACACGAAATGATACGATATTCATACATCCAGGTTCATTATCGATCATTACGAGGGTTGTTACCCTCATTCACATGTATACAGTGTGGAAACACTCAGAAAACACACAAAAACAAAAAAAAATTGTGTCGATATCGAATAGATTACTGAATTGTTAATTTTAGTAATTGACGGGGTGTCATCGCACGCGAAACACAAAGTGTGACAATTAATTAATTAAGGGTTGTTAACAAGGGTCGAAATAATTATAAAACTAATTAAAATCTAAGAATAAACACTGGAATTTGATTTAATCATTACATGTTTACAAAACTTTTGAGTTAAACGAATAAACAAGTCTGAAAATCATAAAATTATACAAAGTGTTTAAAAATTGAAATTTTTATTGTTTATTGTTAGAAGTCATAAATCTATTCGTGTCTAGCAGAAGTATCGGTGGAATGAAATTGTAAATGACTAAATTACTTACTTGAACGTTGAACAATTCGTTAAATGAGTAAATATACAGAGTGTTATGATAATATTTTATTTTATGAAGGATTTTATAAATATTTCCGGGTTTTATATTATCTAACACTCTGTATAACTGGTGTGGAGTTGATTTTAAGCTCTGTAAAGAAATGTCAATTTTGTTAAGTCTCTCTGCGCTCCGCTTTGCTCCGCTTGGTTTCAATTGATGGCGATGGCGACAAAGTTGAACTTGTCCTCTTCCCGTCGCGCCTCGGTCAAACAATTTGCTGCGATTCGTCATGATTAAGCCTAATCATTTTGGTAATGCTAGTGATTTATTCCGTTCATTGCTTTTACACTCTCTGAACTCATAAATTTGACATCTGAACAAGTTCAAGAGAATGTTTGTTTTTTCCTGTTAGTTTGGTTGCCTATATAGTAATAAAAGTTGTGGTTATGATTGATATATGATTATATATGATATATTTACAAATATATTTCGAAAAAGAACGTTTTATGTTAGGATAAACGAAAATATGTTCTTGTCAGTGTAATATGAGTACGAAATACAATTTCAAAGAAGATGGAAATAAGCAAGCGAGGAAAAATTGTGCATTCGCTTGGGAAAACGCGGAAAATATGGAAGATGGCGTTTAAATCTAAATGGATGGCAGCGATTGCAGGATCACATTGAATTGCAAAGGGAAACAAACATTTTTTACATTTCTACATAAATCTAGATACAGGTTTATTATTATTATTATTATTTATAGGAATTGAATCTCGGGATCAAACGGATTGAAGTTTAATTTATTTTTAGGATTATATAACTCTAGATCGTGTTTTTTTAGTTTTTTTTTTAGTTTTTAGTTTGATTTAAACACAAAAACACAAAATTTTATTTTTATTTTAATTTTTAGAATAAAATTTGGAATATTTTCATTATTTTCTGTTTTTTATGTCATAAAATTAATCGTTGATTATTTATTTATAGTTTTTACGTGATACTATTGTGTTTTTAACATAATTACTTTAATTTTTGATTTTTTACATTGGAATCTCGACACCATAAAAATTGTATGAATTTTTCACGAGCCGCACATCCTCGTGCCGAGCGAATAAAACAGAATAACTAACGCATAAAATAAATGCTGAACTGACGTCAATGGAAACCAATTTTTTATATCTCTCGCACGAAGCGTTTCATGTTTTCTGTTTTGTCGAGTTTTACTATTTCCGTACTCATGACTAAAATATTTTCTTTATTTATTAATCTGTAAGTTAAAAAAACAACCTGAATGTTATTCTGGTTGCCTATAATAAATTCAGACGCAGTACACTACACTGCATATCCAGGTTAGGTTAGAAACTCAACTTATTATGAAAATAAGTGAATTATTGGTTGCCTATAGTTTAAAACTAAAAAAATGTACAGATTGTATTTTATCGACTGGTGTCGTTCGTGACAGATCATGTGCGATTATCATTAGCATTTCCAATTTGAATATATGAAGTTTTAAACCGTTTGGAAACGCGTTCGTGCATAACTGATGGATGATGATGCATCTATTTGCAGAAAGCAACTTGCAACCTGCAAAAGTGGCATTCGAACATATTTCACATTTCAGACGCGCAATAAATCACGCCCGGACCCAAATTAACCCACATTTTATCTTGTGATGTCCGAATCTCCAATGTAAACACGCCTCGTACGTCAAATTTCAATTGGCTTTTCGCTCAGACTGAAATAACACGAAATATCAACAATTCTCAACGCTCAGATTTAAATTAAACACAAATAAACTTAATTATTTTCAAGTTTACATAAAAATTCAACAAAATTCAATGTTTGTCATTATCCCTACTAATATTATAAATGCGAAAGTCCTGATGTATGTTACACTTTCACGCAAAAACTACTTAACCGATCATCATGAAAATTTGTACACATATTCTTAGTGGTCCCCGAATGGATATAGGCTACTTTTTATTTAATAAAAAAATTATTTTTTAAATAAAATAAAGAAATTGTTTAGCCAATAATACCTCAGCATCTGACTATTTGACTACTTTAACGCCATCTAGCATTCCAGCAATGAAGCTCAAACCTAAGTACTAGAGTACCATCACACTGTATTATCACACTGTATTACCGACAGCTACGTCAACATCAAATCCAATTGACTACACTATGGAGACTGTGCACTATACTTGCATAGAATATACTTTCAGCCATTTTAAACTTCCCGCCATTCTACTTCATTGTTACTTCTTCTGTGACTACAGACGCGTACGGAAGCAACTTCATTATTATAGATATTCGCGAGCGAAGCCGCGGGTTAAAGCTAGTAATGAATAATTTCACATATTGACCGGAGTGTTCAATGCGCCCGAGTCTTGTTTTGATTAATTGAAGCTATAAATTATACACTTGGCGATGCAGACGTGGTAGGTTATGTCGCGCGCGTGCAGCAACCAGACTAACTCCGCTGCGGTTAATGAATTAACTTGCTGCGGTCACCACTTCATCGGATATCAAATTAGACCACGGAATTTGCGAAAACTAAACGAGGAGATTTATTTCTTTTTAATTCATTAGACAACTTTGCACATGACACTTGAATTAATAACAATTGTAATCATGATCTAAGTGGAAAGCAATTCTACTTGTTTTAATACAACGCGTTGTGAATTTTCAACAGAAATAAATAAATATTAAAAGGGTTTGAGGACCGCTGAAAATTCCGGGCGAACTCTGCACGAAAATAACTCGCACAACAATTGGATGATGCACGAGGTTTGCTTTTTGCCAAGATTTTCGCCCGATTTTTCACGGCTCTTTGCATAAACACCGTCGTAACTTTTGCAGGAGATACGATAATATCACTGCTCTTTTATATAAATTATACAATGTTATAATTATACAAAACAACATGTATAAACTACAAACTAAAATAATCACAAGAAAAACAAGAAAATATACGACGCACTTCAACGGATAAACAAATAATGAAAATCATAACATGTTGATCAGTATTTAACTTAAAAATGATGCGCAGTTTTCCAGCGAGAGAATTTTCAATACCTATTTGATTAATACAACGGTTCAAAGACCTTATTTTCCTTGAATATCAGGATTTTCCTTCGGAAAATAAACATGTAAAGAGAATAGCCGGCATGACGTCAACAAAAGAGTAAATCCTTGTTGTTTGCTAAGTTTTGTTTGTCCGCTGAAACTCTGAAATGATTGTTTCCAACGATAGCGATTTTTATATCGAAAGAAGTATTACTACTTGTGTTACATTAATGTAAGTTGGGATGCGGACAAAAACAACGTCAGGCGTAAACTCGTCCATAGTCACTCACTGTTTCCAGCGAGAACGATTTTTATACCGAAATAAGTATTACTTCTACTTGTGTTACATATGAGTGTCATATGGGTTGCCTATAACAACATAAACGCGTAAATTCACTCATAAAATTCTAATTACTCGTTTATTTCATCTAATAAATGCTTAAAACTCCCTCCACGGTAATAATTCATCCCCTTTTTGTGTTATCACACAAATTAGTGTAATTTACGTTGTTTTTTCTCCTCACATTTTATTTTCTCGTGAATATAAATCACTAAAACCTCGAAAACAACCGCACAACAACCTTTTTATGATTTAATCCCGCGGGATTAGGTTTCCTATTATTTTTTCTCGGTCCGAGGTTCCAATCTGTCTTGATATTGCTTGTTATTGTCTTGTAAGGCATCCCAGTTGATAAATACGCATAATTTATTTCATTTCCACGCGGTTCTTAGATGTTAGCATCTAAGGTAATATAAATAAACACACGATTTACTTTCGTCCTTTGGTTTTTAGGTGAACTCTGTATGTGTATTGTATGTGCTTAGATTAATGTATGAAGCATGTGCGCAAATAATGTGCAAATCGGCGGGGTGTATAAATAGTCCGGAGCAGCTTATTACGTGTATGGCGGTGGTACTTGTGTTGATTGTTGGTGTGTGCCATTGTTTCACGATCGCTGGCGCTATTATATTGAGTGGAAACGACAAAAACCGAGTGTTTTGTACTTCTATCCAAGTTAAAACACTAAAAAACTAAGAAAATTCAGTTAAATCATTAAAATAGGTTAAGTAAATATGGTTGCGGTGTTGGTAGATGTCAAAAATAACCTGTTAACCTCAAAATGATGATTTGAGATGATTTTGAAGTGTTTTCAAGACGATTCGGTAGATTTTGAGTGTTGAGGCGTGCGTAATTGCCATTTCGGTGGGGGCTTTCGCTGGCTTGTGAGCTTTCGGCGGACGTGCTGAACGTGGTGGTCATTTACACACGTCGACGCCGGCTTCAACAACGTGACCATGCCCGAAACATATTTAGAATTGTTCGGCGATGAGGCGCATCTCAGTGTCGCACCGCGGTCGGCCGGGAGAGCAAGCCTAAAACATTCACATCACCGCTGAACTTTTTATTTTAATCACAGAGTTGAAAAACAATCATTTTTTTCTAAGAAATAAATCGAAATAAAAAAGGGCGCCATCTTAACGGTGGATGATGTTATTAGATAAACTCAAGACACTCTTGGATTGTCCGCGCGTACAAGAATCACCTGTGAAACACAATTTTCAAGGTAATATTAACGAAAATGTGAATTTTGATGTATTTTGATATGGCGGAAATATAATTTCAAGGAAAAATATTGTCGACGTGTGGCGCCGTGTGATGCATTCAAAGGAAAACATTTAAAAATAAATTCGCACGAGACCGCACCGAATTTTAAGAATAAAATTTTCCTCGCCGAAAAGCATTCCGGCGTCCGTGCGCCATGCTATTATTGAACTATCGGTCAAGATCGTCGGCGAACGCGACTAAATTTAGCGAGCAAACGAATTTTCGCCGCGGATTACGTGCACTACAGCTACCTGACGACGAATGACCAACCACAACTTTACAAACACTAAAAGATTACAATAGAAATGTTTTTAATGTGAAGCACAGCTTTGTGTTTAACCCTATTTTTATTGCGCGTGTAATATAGGCAACTTTAATGTCATTGTAAGATGAAATTGGCAATATTCTACAAAAGGTCAATATCGACTGATGTGGGCTCGGAAACTAATGCAATTTTCGCATTGAAAGCTCAAATTACACGACGTAAATTTGTTGGCGATGTTAACATGCTTTGCTACAACATTGGGCACTCAAAAGCAAGCGAAAAAAAGTAATGAATGAAGCGTGATCAGCGCTGATTGCCAAAAACACTTTTAACACACTTAAATGACTCGAAACAACGTTTTTTGCGTTTTACATTATTGTTCTATGACCTAAATTAAGTGTTTGATAAAAATATCTTTGGTTGACCGATTTTTTGTTTTGTTATAGGCAACAATAATGCGTCCCCAAAGGATGGCCTTCAGTGGCGCGGCCGCAATGGCGGCCACTGCGGCAGCGGAGAGTGCGGCGTCGGGAATGGTGGCGGCGGCATCGCTGATGGCGGGCACGCCGCCGAGAACGGCTGCGGGGGCGGCGGCGGCGGCGTCCAGGAGAACGGGAACGCCGGACCGATTACAGACAAGCTGGAGGGACAGGACCCAACTGAGAACGACGCTATTCACCTCAAGAGACGGGTGGGACTCGTCAGTGGGGTGGCTCTAATTGTCGGCACTATGATAGGTAACCCAATATACATCCCCGTATTTTAATCGCAGATCAACATAGGGAATTATACAAAAATATTTTTACATTTTACATTTCTGAAAGCACTTTGTCAATTTGTCGCTTTTGTGGGTTTTATTGAAATCCCTCATCATTCACATGTCCGCTCGCACATCGATTTGATTAAATTTCCTCGCCCACTGCTTATTCCTCTCAATCCGGCACTTTACAATGAGGGTTTCTATTTCAATTCCGCAAAAACGACATTTTCGACAGACCGCAGTAATCGTTGCTTCCGAATTGAAGCAGATAAAAGCTCTGGGACCTTGAGTTTTTTATATTCTTCAACTAAATTTTATTTATTATGTCCTTTTCTTTTTGTTTTGAAGAGCTTAAGTTTGGTTTACGATGTTTTTAGTGCTTTTATACATTAAACGTTGTTTTGGCACACACCACGAACAAAATAAATTCATCAAGTTGAAACTATTGACTTCTAATCCGATTATTTGCAGGATCTGGAATATTCGTCTCTCCATCGGGTCTGTTACAACGGACTGGTTCGATTGGAATGAGCTTCGTGGTATGGATGGCGTGTGGTGTGCTGTCTTTACTAGGTAAGCGTAAATCTACAAACAAAATGGCGTTGATTAACATTTTTTAAATGAATTTTAGGGGCACTGTCTTATGCTGAGCTGGGAACGATGAATACGTCCTCCGGCGCCGAGTACGCTTACTTCATGGACGCGTTCGGAGCCCCGCCGGCGTTTCTCTTCTCATGGGCGAGCACCCTGGTGCTCAAGCCGTCGCAGATGGCCATCATCTGCCTCGGATTCGGCAAGTACGCCGTCGAGGCTTTCGTCACCGAGTGCGAACCTCCCGAAATCGTCGTGAAGATGGTAGCGTTGCTTGCAATTGGTAAATAAAACAACCTAAAACCAAAATAATAAAATTAAATAACAAAAATAAATATTTTGCAGTTGTGATTCTTTATATCAACTGCTACAGTGTGAACCTGGCTACAAGCGTGCAGAACGTATTCACAGCCGCGAAGCTAGTCGCCGTGCTGATTGTAATCGTCGGTGGAGCTTACAAAATGTTCGAAGGCAACATTCAGCATTTACGTGAACCTTTTAAGAACACCGAGTATTCCATCGGCAACATCGCCACTGCATTTTACAGCGGTCTGTGGGCGTACGACGGCTGGAATAATCTCAATTACGTCACGGAGGAGATCAAGAATCCTTCCAAGTAAGTTATCCAGATGAAACTTTCCCGCTAGCATTCAATTCCAATCCATTTGCGTTGAAACTTTAACTCGATCCCAAGACACACACTATCCCAACTTTTCTAATACATTTTTGTGTCTGGCTTCTCGATAGAAACTTACCGCGCAGTATTGCAATTGGTATCCCACTGGTAACCATCTGCTACGCGCTGATCAACGTCTCGTACTTAACCGTGATGTCCCCAATGGAGATGATTACATCCGAGGCTGTTGCCGTTACATTCGGCAATCGCTTGTTGGGAATGATGGCGTGGTTGATGCCGTTGTCTGTGACCATCTCGACGTTTGGCTCTGCGAATGGCACGTTGTTTGCTGCTGGTCGGCTGTGCTTCGCTGCGAGCCGCGAGGGTCACATGCTGGATATCTTGTCCTACGTGCATGTCAGGCGGTACACTCCTTCGCCGGGATTGATTTTCCACGTAAGTTGTCGCCGGCCCCGTGTACGGGGGCGGGCCGAGGATGTCCCCCAACGGTAAGGTAACCGCATCTTGGTTGTTATCTCGCTGGTGGTGTGATGTCGACTCTCGACTCTCTCTATCTTTCGTATCATGTATCAGAACGTCGCAAATCCAATACTAACCACGTTGTGTTATCACGTATAGTCGCTAATTGCCGCTGCCATGGTTTTGTACGGTACCATAGACTCCCTCATCGACTTTTTCAGTTTCACGGCGTGGATCTTCTACGGTGGATCAATGGTTGCTCTGCTTGTTATGCGATACACTAAACCAAACTATCCAAGGCCCTATAAGGTATAAAACACATAAAATTTTTAGTAAAAAACTAATTTTTACTTTTTTTATGTTTTTTAGGTGCCTATCATCATTCCAGTGTTGGTTTTAGTCGTGTCCATTTATTTGGTCGTTGGTCCCATTGTGGACAAGCCCACGATCGAATATCTCTACGCCGCGTCCTTCATCTTAAGCGGGATGATATTTTACGTGCCGTTTGTGCACTACAAGATGCACATCCCTTTCATGGGTAAATTCAACAAAACATATCCTAACCTCACTTAACCTTACTTTTATTTTACAGGGAGAATAACGGTATTCTTGCAAATGCTCTTAGAAGTAGCGCCGACAACTTCAATGTTCGACTAGATAAACAAAACCTACGAGTATCTATAAAGTATCCTATGCTCAGTTATTAACCCGTAATTAAATGTCATATAATTCGCTGGGGCTGAGCGATGAGAGAGGGTGATAACACATGGTTACAAGTTTATGTTACTTATTCGCACGTTAATCACTTTGTTTGTGTTGTTTTCATTCATTCATCTTTGCGCACATCCCGATTTACACACAGAAACATAAGTTTTGATTTCGTAGTTGCACGAATCATTCCTCCCTTTCTTTCATGGCGGCCCGTGGGGTGCAACACGCCGCCATCTTAGTTCGCGCGTTGTTCGTATGCCGTTTTCTTCCGTTTCGAAACTCTCAAGCTGAACATGAACAAACTTAAAACACTTTCAACTAAAAAACATGCATAGGACAAGGAGTGGAGAGCAAGAAAGCAAAAAGCAATACATTCACGTAGTGAAAATCAAAAGGAACTATACGATGACGAAAACCACGAAGAGAATCACAAATAATTCAAAAAAGTCTGAATTTTTTATGAGATAATCATTATTTTTATATACACGCGACATGTGAGTGTGTGTGTGGACATTTCGAAACGATGCAGAGGAAAGAAATTAAAAGACACTTGTAACCATGATGCGCAGACACGCAAGTTGACGTCGACACGTCGTTCACTTGGTCCTTTTTCTATAATTATTATCAAATGTTATTGCTAACACTTTTTTGTGAAAGAATTTGATTTATTACGGGCGTTCATGGTAAAACTATGGTATTATCATTCCTTACCGGAACGCCAGACGCCGTTTTGTTATTTATTTTGATATTTTTCATTAATAAATAAGTTGCAACAATCTGAGATTGTTTGCTAGTGATTAATGAAGAAATGTAACTAGGACACAAGACACACACAGACAAAATATCGATTTGCTGTGAGGCAGAAAGGTACCTGTTGATAAAAGAGGAGTATGAGTAGTAGAGTAATTGGCAGGCAAACATTCAGTTCTTGTTTGTAATTTGATTTCACGCGACATGCATATCAAGTGTACCAGAACGTTTTGTCTGATTTGTGAAGTGTTAGGATCTGAACATGTTGCTCTACATCGATCTTTTGATTACATTGTATTTCGACACGAGCGCGTTGACGATATGTATAGTGTTTTATATAATTTTAGGTTTTAATGATATATTTAATGCAGATAAAAAATTTATTGTTGCCAAAATTAATATATTGTAAAGAGATGAATACAATAAATTGTTTTCAATTGAACTGGTGTTGAATTTTAACGCAAAGAACTGGAAATCCCTACTAATATTATAAATGCGAAAGTCCTGATGTTTGTTACACTTTCACACAAAAACTACTTAACCGATCATCATGAAAATTTGTACACATATTCTTAGTGGTCCCCGAATGGTTATAGGCTACTTTTTATTTAACAAAAAAATTATTTTTTAAAAAAATAAAGAAATTGTTTAGCCAATAATACCTCTGCATCTGGCTATTTGACTACTTTAACGCCATCTAGCATTCCAGCAATGAAGCTCAAACCTAAGTACTATAGTACCATCACACTGTATTATCACACTGTATTACCGACAGCTACGTCAACATCAAATCCAATTGACTACACTATGGAGACTGTACACTATACTTCCATAGACTATACTTTCAGCCATTTTAAACTTCCCGCCATTCTACTTCATTGTTACTTCTTCTGTGACTACAGACGCGTACGGAAGCAACTTCATTATTTTAGATAGTCGCGAGCGAAGCCACGGGTTAAAGCTAGTATGTAAATAAACAATGTTTTTATGTATAACTTTATAATCAACGCATAGATGTCGCTAGCGTGAACATTTTTATACAAAATATTCGTTTGTTTACCTGAGTGAAGTTATTTATCGGTTTTAGTGATTTCGCACGCTGCATGCGAGTATATCTTATCAATATCACGCGATATTGTGTTTATTTACATTTTTATCTTGTGTGTTTCTTCCAGCAATATCGAATTTCGTGGTTTAAACTTGTTATTTCTTGCTTCTACGCATTTATTCTTCAAATATTCATCCAATTCAAGTTGTCACACAAATAAATACTAATAAAATAGTATTTTAATTAAATCTTCTACTAAAAAAAGGTTTTAGACACATTAAAACACTGAACACTTCACAATTACTTCTCAAATATATCCAATATATTAAAATATTTACATTTCTTTCCACAACAAATAATTTTATCGATAATGAACTGCTTACTATCACTGTCGAGCAAACTACGCCTCAGTCGACTACGCTACATGAAAAAGGTACAAATTATAGCATAAATCTTTGGATTGTGTTCCTTGCTTGCACAAATCATCGGGTAATATCAGGTAATTGCGGTTTGCAATGTCAAATTTACATAACATTCAACTTCGAAACATTTGTCGCTCTCAGAATTCGTTATTAATTGCCTACCTAGCCTATCTAGCTTATCAAAACTAATGACTAATCAATCACTTAATTAATATCACAAGTGTTGTGCAACTTCAATGGATTCGTCCGTCTTCAATGCCTTGTGGATCAAGTGGAGCAACTCTTTGTAGAGAAAGCAATCCCGGCCAGCAGGTTTACAAATCTCTCGATGGTCCAATGGCACTTCACATATTTCACCTACTCCTGGATCTACAATTAACCAGACACATTACATAAATGTTACAATAAATAATTTGAATGTTTTAATACTTACCAGCTGATTCAAGCGATACAATCTTCAAATATATAAACGACATGAGTGTGAAAGACGATTCGATGAAGCTGAACACCTCCGGCTTGAAATTCTCATCATCAAAAAGCTTCAAGAATTTATCATGAAGTTCGAGCACGAACTTACAATCTAAAACATAAATTAATTAATGAAACATTTAATCATTAATTAAGCAGATGTCTAGCTTACTCTTTTGAACTTCTGTGAGCTCGATGCTCTTGCTCAACAGCGGCAGCGAAATGTCGGCCATGATCGATCCGCGATGCGGCACGCTATAAAACAGAATCGCCTTCGACTGCTCATAGATGCTGCGATCGCAATCCTCCAAACTCTTGGAACAATCAATCAACATTTGTTTTATAAACAATCCGCCTTTTGAGTGTCCAACCCATACAATCGGATGAGCTCCAACGCCAATTTCATGTAATTTTTCAAGCATTTCTTTACTGCGTTCAACCATTCCAGTTCTAAAATATAAAAATTTAAAAATTAATATAATAGGAATTTAAGCACCTGTCGGAATAATACAACTCGTTTAATATTAATTACAACATCTATTAATATACCCGCTTTGAATAATTGAAATATTTCGTTGACTCACCGATTGCGTTTCTTCACCCAAATGGGCCTCCACAAGTACGGATCGGTCGTGTAATTCAACGCAATAACTCTCGCACCCGGACAGTCCTTCTCCAACCATAAGGGCCAGCAAGGTGAATAATCCGCTGCCTGGCCTTGCCCCAGCCTCGGATGACCTAGATCTTGACTCTCGTCATCATCCACCTCTCGGATACTGTTATCGATCGACTGACTGAACGAGTTCTTACAGATTTTCTTCACCAAATACGCCGGTTGATTCTTATTCGTGCGTTTCAGATTCCCTCGGATTCTTATATCGCCCAACGATGGTGATTTTGTCAATTCTTGTCGATTAATCTTATGCCTTTCATGACGCCACAACCCTTGCTTCCAAGTCTTCTCCAATGCACCATGTAAACCATGAAGAAATATAATATCTGTTTTAATATCCGCTGGAGTTGTCAAAACATTACATTCAACCGATTTCTCAGGAAATTCATCTTCATTTGATTGACTATTCGGGTTAGCATCGTTGTCAATGGCGACCATTCGTGGCGTGGTGATTCTACGCTGTACACTCGAGAGTGATTGCGATAAATAATTGACTAACACGGCAAGAACGGTGGGAATTAGAATTTTCCGCACGTTTTCCACCATGGATTTCTGATTTCGCATGTATGCATAGTAAATGGTGGAGACGGCAGGTAACAGCGCATTCGCAAGGACTTCAATCGCCACTCGCAGTTTACTAGAAACGATAAAAATAGACCTACAATTAGTAAACATTAGTGGAGTGAATAATTTCGTCAACAGACAAGAAGTCAGCGTGTTATCAGTGTTATCCTAGACATTCTATACGTTTACATCATAATACGAAGCGGAATGAACAAGATACACTCTGATAACAGCGAAACAAAGACCAGACTTAATAATAAAACAGAATATAACACAGGGACGGATGTATAATACTCTTATCTCATTATAAATTATTATATAATAGTCTAATTAAGTTATAAATAACATAGGTCATGTTGGAGGTTATGTTATCTACAGAACATGAAAAAAAATATGAAATTTTGCAATATGGCTGAATAATTATTTAGATATTAATTATTATTTAATAAAAAATGAAAAATGCAGTGGGTAATATAATCAAATCCGCCTCTGAAGAGGTCCCCACTTTCTAAACGTAATGTCATCATGTTTACCATTCAACGAGTACAATAAAACTCATTGGGAATGTGTAACAACTTCACATTCCAGTTGACCACTGTTCGGGAGTGCTTCCAAATCAACTACTGCAACTCAACAATCAACAAGATGCCGCTGCGTTTAGGTGACACCGTGCCCAACTTCAAGGCCCCTAGCACCCAGGGACCACTTCAATTCTACGACTTTCAAGGAGATTCGTAAGTTATTCCTCAATAAAACCAAAAATATTTTTTTTAAATTAATTTTTTTGTTTAATATTAAGTTGGGTGATGTTATTCTCTCATCCTGCTGATTTCACTCCTGTCTGCACTACTGAACTGGGAAGAATCGCTGTTCATGTCCCGTATTTCCGCAAACGCAACGTGAAACTCTTGGCGCATTCCTGCGATAAACTGCAGTCGCATGTTGACTGGGTGAATGATATCAAGGATTACTGCAAGGATATTCCCGGGGAGTTTCCCTACCCGATTATTTCCGATGAGAAGCGTGAACTTGCTGTTTCCCTGGACATGATTGATCAGAATAATAAGGATAAAGAAGATCATGCGTTGACTGTGCGTGCGCTTTACATCATTGATCCGCAGCATAAACTAAGGTTATCGATGCATTATCCTGCTTCAACTGGACGTAATGTTGAGTAAGTAACAAATTAGCTACTTTATTATAACGCAGTATTGTTAATATTCGCGCACAAACGCAAGTGAAACCTTGAACCGAGGTATTTGAGTCAATCAACAATGCGCGCCGCGTGTGTTTTAAACATAGTTATATAATGGTGTTGATGAAACGTTGGCGGTTGTCAGTGCTATCAAATTATTATCAACGCATACATTAAACATTTGTGTGTCTGTCTGTGTGGGTTGTTAGTTGAATTATCACAGAGGACGGTTGCCAAGTGACTTAAGTAATGTAACTTCAGTACTGATTGAATTTAATGCGGTGTTTGAAATGCAAGAGCCGGTTTGAGAACTTTCACCACAAGAGATTGGATTCTTATGTTTAGAATATTATTTTGGTCTGATTGAGTTCAGGTTTTCAGACTAGTTCCGTGATGAACGCGTTTTCTGTTTGCGTCATTAATTTCGAGCGTAATAAATCTAGATTAGAGTTTAATTAATGTGGATAAAGTTCAATCAGTTGAGCAATACTTTGCAATCGGTTTTAGGGTGGTCTAATTTACATCATTTGTTTTAATTAATAACAAATTGATCTTTTTATTTGTTTTTTTTTTATTCTTTTGATTGCTTTGCTTTTCTAGTGAAATTTTGAGGGTCATTGACTCTTTGCAATTGGTTGATCGCATTCCGCAAATTGCTACGCCTGCCAACTGGGTGGTAAGTTCATTATTTTATTATTATTATTAATATATATTAATTATTATTCATATAAGAAAATAAAACAGTCGCGACTGTTACACAATTGCGATATGTATCTTGTTATTATTCATTGTTTTTATATTTTATAAACAGCCTGGCGAAAAAGTAATGATTCTGCCGTCAGTAAAAGAAGAAGAAATCGAAAAACTGTTTCCTGGTGGAGTCGATCGTGTCTCCATGCCATCTGGCAACGTCTACGTACGCACAACCACTGATTACAAGATGTAATTGTTAATTATTCATCAATAATCCATCAATAATATTTACTCATTTATAACTTTTTGTGTTTCTATATATTTTACTTGAATAATGACTTGAAATTCAATAAAAATACTGGTTTATACTTGTTATAATGAAACAATAAAATATTTTAACGTTTGCCAAAAAGTTTCAAGTGTTTACATGATTCGAAATGATTCAATCCTTTAAAAATCAAAAAATCTTAATTTTGAGTGTTTAAATGTTATAATAATTGAATTTTTGAGCACGACACTAATGCGTGCTGTAATAATGGAATAATTCAAGTATGTACTGGTTATTTATAAGCATTATTAACATTGTAACATCGTAAAAACCTGTCAAAACATATTAATTTACTCTTTACCATTAGTAGTGTTATATGAGTTGCCTATATTCTTTCTTTATACAAAGTTAAATTAAATTGTTTTAAAATTGGTTGAATCACACTGTATATTTCTATAGAAATATATTGGCTTACTGCCAATCGATTGCATAAACTTGCAACACAGCGTTTGCAATTTGTGTTGATTAACCTTGTCGCTTAAAAGTACGTATTAATCATAGACAATAATTCTTCATCATCTCTCGTTATAGACGCGATAATTGCATCGCAAAAACAACACCTACAGATAGATTCTAAATAAAAACTATAATAATGCATCAATTAAATCATCAACAAACATATTCGGTAGCTGTAGTCATTCGAGCATAAACATAATAATACATTATTAAATAATAAATTTAATGTCATGTACGTCCGTCGTGATCATCATCACCATAATGGCGGATCGCATTATTCCAATAAGGAATAATAACGCGGTTCATTGTTAGTTTTGTTACTGGACTAGTCTATTGTGATAAAATGCCTACATGCACAATCTGTCATTTGTTTATTCAAGGCACATCTCGCGCGAATGGCGAAATGTCAATTTAGAAAACGTTAACGGTTTTTTTATTGCGTGTTTTTTGCATTATTGTCCGTGCTTCCGCTACCAACAAAACAACATCGTTTTAAATTATACTGTAATCGCCTGTAATGCTAATTACTTTAATTAAGTTGATCATCAACGTCGTAGTAAACATTATAACAACATCAATACATTACATATTCGTAAAATTATATCCAATATTCAATATTTTGTTTTGTTTTTAATTTTTCGAGTTTAAATGTTACTGCAACTCGTGTTATTGAGGAAATATTTTAAATTCACACACTTTACACGTTTGCGTCGTGAATTTTGGCGGTACAAGGCGAGTTGAAGCGTAGAATTTATTACAAAGACGTCGACAATCTGTGTAGGCTCGCATATATGTGTATATAAGCCTATTTAGTGGGTATTTACTTCATACTTGACGGCGTGCGCGATTGTATGAATTAAATGCGAATGTTTTTAAACACCGGCCGGCAAACAACATGCGCTGGCACGCAAAAAACGATAATGCCAGGGATTATACAACAAGGACCCGAAAAACTGCGTTGTGACTATTTTATCGTAAACATCACAAACTAACTCCCAAAAAATCACTTTTAATGTGTAAAATTTAGATAACTTACGAAAAGTATCCCATTGTATTCGCACACTTCAAAATTTAAAGCACTATATTTTTTTGGGTAATTATTATCTATTCACTTACGTTGTCGAAATGGCGACGTTCGATTGTTTCGCCTGGAAGTCGACGTCGCTCGAAAATATCACTTGATCGCACATGAAGTCCTCGGCTTCTTCACAGCAATCGTCTTCCCGATCGTACATCATCGTCGCGACTGGAACGGAATGAGAAATCACTTAATTATGTAGACAGATACAATCTAGGATATCAGGAAAAACACTTGATATAAAACAAAGCATGATGAGTGTGCTATCACAAATGATTTACACCCACACCGACTTTTGATGCTCGTGTAGGTAAAGTCCACTAAATTAATTTTTATTTGATAAGAAAAAAATCAGATTTTGAATATTTAAAATTTAACTGATTAATAGACAATAAATAAAAAGATATAAAATCGTAGTAATTAAATATAATTGTGTATTTTTAATGATAGATTCTATTTTATTTGGGTTACATTAATTTTAATGTGCGTGTTCGTTAGTTAGGACTCAGTTTAATAATAATATAGTCAAGTTTAACACAGAGATAACCTTGGTTTGTCATTGTGTATTCATACTCTCGAGTGCTCTATTTTTAACTGTAAAATTTTCATTATCTAATGTTACAATTTGTGTAACAAGGAAATAATGAGTAATGTATATTTTAAAATGTCAAAGATTAACGTTTATTTTATGTAGTTAAGTTTATCCAAAATAGAAATCAAGAGAAATCAATAAATCATGAATAAGAAAACAACATTTATCCTCATATGTAAATGTAAATTTTGTGTTATTTCTCTTGGAAGATAATTATTAAGACGACGATTAGAGAAAATCACACCGTTTTCCATCAGATTTTTTCTCCTACTTACCTTGTTAAACGATGTGTTTATCAACTAATTGCAGTGATTACAGTAAAATTATTTAATTATTTTATGTAAAATATTGTTCAATGTGTTCACATGAGATTGAAACAGTATACTAAAGCGATATTCTCTTACTGTACAACGTGAAATGAATTTGTTTATATTTTTTCGGGAAGTGAATGCCGATAATACATGAATTGATAATTCATTGTTCGTAAACAATACAATGAAAATGTTTACAAACGTTTTACAACAACAACTTGTAACTTTAATGAATGGTATATTGGCTGGGTGACACTTTTACTCCAAGGACTAATAAATATGTATTTTATACTTGAGATAAATAAGAGAAACTCGAAGATTTTAAGTACTTTTTACGTCATTGTCAAGTTCATGAGGTCACGAAAGCAAATGATTTTAATTAGAAAAAATAAAATCGTTATACAACCATTTAAAATTTGATTTACCGCCTCAAAACATTTCAGACGATTAAACTTGATATAACCAGGTCAAAGGATATACAATATTCGCAGTTATCGCTAATTGGTCATTATAATTAATAACATAAACTATAAACCGATAAATAGAATTAAATTTCATTTTAATATAAATATTCTAAGAATTTAAAACGTATGTAAATTTGAAATGAAAACGAAACAAGATGAATGAACCGAAAACGAAACGAAAATCAAAAATGAAAGTTAGTGCCAAGTTTGTGTCTATTTCCGCATTTCTTAAATCTATTTTAACATAGATTTAACATTCAAATTTAGGTTACCTAATTGAGCATTAAACCATATTAACAAATCTACATTCAGAAGTTAAATTGTTTGATTATAAAAGTGACAATATTTTATTTTAGTATGTATGTACATAAAGAAGCATTTGAAGTATTCAAACAATCGGCTGTAGGCGAACCCAAGTCAACTGATAAACACGTACATGTATTTTTCGGCAACGGTGCGTTCGGTGCGATTGCCAAACCGTGACATACATTCAACCAACACCCATACACAAACAAAAAGCATTCCAATGTATTCCAATTCGAATCTCACAACTGTTCGCTCTCCTCACAAATTGTCGGTTGCCGACTACGGTTTCGACTTGGTTTCTAAGCGCACTCACACATTATCACATACAATATAATATGTACTGTGTACTTACTACCACAAACAAACGTACTTTACATTCATTCGCACGCAATATAAATTAAATGCGTGTGTAGGTACATCTATGTGCGTGTACAATCAAACAGTTCAAGTAGGAACGACCGATAACGAATAGTCTAGTTAGAAACAACTCCCGCATGAAGTTTCATTATTATTTCAATTTGAAAAGTTGAAATTTCAATTTTAAAGTTTAGCGGTAAACTGTGCATAGAAACACAATGTGTTACAATGTAGGAGGTAATAACGTCAAACGCAACTCGAAATTATAATTATAATGGAAAAGATGAGCCAAATACCGCGCACGTGCGTTTTACTTTCGTCTATGAACTATATTAATCACGAACCAGTTTTATTTTGAATCCATATATAACCGATTTGAATATAACACATATGTCACATATGTAATCTGTATCAGTCATGCACGAGTAAGATAAAAACATACAAAGTTCATAGTTTTAAACTAAATAAACTTCTGTGAATATTTTTTTATGTTTAACATAATTAAACAAAATAATATGAGTTTACCTTTAGAGTTATTCATAATATCCGTTTGTATTTACAAAAATTCCTTCATTTTTTGCACTGCACTTTAAAATAAAACTTTTTTTACGAATAAATAATGACGATCTTTTTATTCACGGTTCTTGTTTCTCTTCGCGCTTGTAGTTTGTATCACAAGTTGTTATATCACACACTCACTTGAATTTGCGTAAGTTATGCACTTTCAAAAGCGTCGCGATCAGTGAATACGAATAAAACGAAAATAAAAGTTATTAATCTCTTCTTGCTTGGATTGTTTAGATTTTTCGATTGTTGTTAAGTGTTAAGTTGATACTTTGAAGGTTGATGTTGGTCTGCACATCGCAGACCATTGAGACCGTCCTCCAGCTCGCTCGCAGACCACCGCAACACTGATCGCGACCACGCGACGCCGCGCGGCAATCAAATAATTTATCAAACACACAAACGCGACTTGCGCCGCACGACGACGCGCTCGCTACGTAACGACCGACACACTGGTTCATACATCCACACCCACACTCAAACATCATCACTAAAAATTACACACTGGGTTTTATTTTCGTTTGGCACTCAGTAGTCTCTATCATATGCGCGCCGACTAGAAACAAAATTTTCTCTCGCACGCAATGAGGAATAGTTTTGATTATGGTGGTTATTGGTTTTGTTATCGAATAGAAATCACTCATGCATTGACATATGTCGATATATGTTTTATTTAATAATTTAGTAAATTAATGTTTGTCGACGCACATGTTGAGTTCGCATCGTTGTGCTGCGAGTATCTCGACATAATCGAAACTACTGAATGTTAAACTCGAACGCAGACTGAGTTTACAACTATAATCCTTTCCCCTGCATGCAGGCATGGTTAGAAGCAACGTTTCTCTCTTCGTTTTATAGATTTTACTAGAATTATAACAGTAAAGCTAAGCTAAACATATCGAGGAGTTATATATACTTTTCCTCCTCGCTTGAGTAAAGCTTCATGTCAAGTCATGTCAAGTATAACTTGCGTAAGAGATTAACACCATCTTTTGTATAAAAATAGGTGTCGCTTCAAGATGGCTGCCTTTATTGAAAGCGGGTTCTTTCTTTTTAACTTAAGATTCCAGTTCCTCCTTCAAGCAGCTGTTTGTACGACACATAAAAAAATTGTCAGCGGCCGAACGAAACTTGTTTTAAGCCTCATGCGTATTATTACTATGGAATATTCTTGGTAAGATTAAATATGCATTTGAATATTATCTATCTACGTCAACACCCACGTTCCTATATTACTTTAAATATGCATAGGTTGAGTTAGTAACATCACTTGACCTCGAATCATGTAGGTACTTATGGATATCAATATTAAAAAGATGATAAATATAGTTTTTTACCGTCGTTGTTCGGTTGCCAGACGGTAGATAATTCGGAATAATGAGTAATTATTAAGTGAGACATGTCCTTGGGATAACAAAAAACCAATACTAATTTATTGCATAATAATTATGTTTTTTTTATGTTTTTTTTTTAATTTTGTTAAAAGCAAAATATTTATTTGAAGTTTTCTTTCTGAAAAAAATTAATTGCAACGGAAATATCTTGCTCCTAATTTGTTTTATTTTAATTTTGTTTTATTTATTTAACAACAAAAGGGTTTTTGCATAGTTTGTGCTATTTAAAAGGTTTAAAAGTTTCTTATAAATTGATTTAAATTCGTGTTTGTGTTAGTTTCATTTAAGTTTTTTATTAAAACCGGATTTAATGCTGAGAAACGTGATAATCACCAACGTGACATCAAAAAAGAGAAAACCAATCATTATAATTCCCTGAATTAGCATTTTATGTACGCTAATTAATAGTTTATTAGTAGTTTATTATAAAATATGCACGGTTATTCAATATGCATGTCTATACACAATTTTAACGCCAATTGCGTATTGCTCAAAACGCTGTAATTTATTAATAATTAATAAGCGTGGCGTGCGTGTTTAGATTGTTTGCACATTTTTGTTTAAATGACTTTCGTGTTTTATGAAAATTCTTTCGATTTAAAAGTGCAATTAAATCGTAATTTAATGCATACGCCCAAGGTTGTGACATTTGCTGCGCAATTATTAAATGTGTAGCAGAATTTAACACCTCGCACTTATTAAGCTGTTTGATTTTACAATTTTCAAACAATGTTTAACAACGTAAACATAAATATGTCTAGGGCACGTGGTGTGTTTATCAGTTTAACAACAAACGATTAACGTTATTATGGTTTAATTTTATCTAGGCAAACAGTCTAGTGTTGGTAATCAACAACATGAACTATTCCTACATCTACGGCTGGTATAAATATTTGCCATCATTTAATTTTTTAGATTCCTATGATTCCTACCGCAAACAAAAACAGAGATAAATGTTAATAAATATGGAATAATCGTCGTATCGCATGTGGTTAGCACACGCGCGGTGATATTAAGATTTAGATTATTATAAAATCTATATATTTTTAATAATATAATGCGTTTTGTGTTTTTGATGCATTTGTTAAGTTTCTTTTCTTACAGTGGATAGAAATTTAATTTACTAGTTGTTTGCTTCCTCTGAGTGCATCGCGCATGCACTCACGCGCTGCGTGGCTGTTGATACCGCGCAGTTGCTTGCATGCCCGGCGTGCTTAGCTTCAGTTGTGCAAGTACTTTCGTCGTGTTGGTTCGTCGCGTTTTTCGCTGTTTACGACGTTGCTTAAGAAGTATATTAGTGAAGTTTTATTAGATTCGGCTAGCAATGAACGGATTGTTGTACGGACGGTGATGCAGTGCTATATGTGGATTAAGTGTGTCCAGCTGTATAGATTCGGGTAAGGATATGAGAATAGTTTTATTTATTGTATATATCGCACCCGTGCTTTTGTAAACTTACTGTGGAAAATAGCCCGGGAAATAACACGGGAAGAGCGTGAAAACCGTCTTTCAAAGTTGATACCTTTATACGGTGCTTTTAAAGGGAGTCACTTTTATCGCTAGCTTTGTACGGTGTCCTGAATGGGAGTCATTTGTACCGCTAGCCTCGTACGATCGTACCCTGTTTCTCTACAAGATGCACACCCCTGCAACCTTTAAGCATGTTTGGAAGTGCTCTCAAATGACCTTCAAAAATGAGCAATTTCAGGAAAATTTGAAAACATGATGTGGTAAACACCCTGTATCTAGTGAACTAATAGACTTTCTTAGAGTTTCTCCACGCCAGAATTGAGCTAGAGAGTTCCTCTACACGATGCACCCACTCAAACCTTTCAGCTCTTCCGAAAGTGCCCCAAAATGCCCTTCAAAAATGAGCAATTTAAAGAAAATTTGAAAACATGATGTGGAAGACACTCTGTATCTAGTGAACTAATTGACTTTCTTAGAGTTTCTCTACGCCAGAATTGAGCTAGAGAGTTTCTCTACACGATGCACCCCCATCCAACCTTCCAGCCCTTCCGGAAGTGCCCTATAATACCCTTAAAAAATGAGCAATTTCAGGAAAATTTGAAAACATGTTGTGGAAAACAACCTGTATCTAGTGAACCAATCAACTTTCTTAGGGTTTCTTTAAACCAGAATAAAGTTAGAGAGTTCCCCTACAAGATGTTTATTTCCAAACCTCGCAGCGTTTCTGGAAGTGCCCTAAAATGCCCTTCAAAAATGAGCAATTTTAAGAAAATTTGAAAACATGGTGTGGAAAACAGCCTGCATCTCTTGAACTAATTGACTTTCATATAATTTCTCTACTCCAGAATAAAGTTAGAGAGTTTCTCTACAAGATGTATAACCTGCAATCTTCCATTCCTCCCGGAAGTACCCTAAAATGCCCATCAAAAATAGTCAATTTAACAAAAATTTGAAAACTAGATGTGTAAAACGCCCTGTATCTCGTAAATCATTTGATTTTCTTGCAGTTTCTTAACGTTATGTTAGAGTTTGAGAGTCCCTTTATTCTATGCATACCTTTTGAACACTATAAACCCATTGGAAGTGTTCTAAAATAACCTTCAAAAATCGGTAATTTCATCCAATAAATTTCATTTTTGGTCGAAGAACAGGGTCGAACTTTTCTGGTTAAAATTTTTTCGGTCGAAAAACAGGGTCGAACTTTTTTACATAAAATTTTTCGGTCGAACTTTTTTGTTAAAATTTTTTCGGTCGTATTTTGTTGTTAAAATTTTTTCGGTCGTTTTTTTTTTGTTAAAGTTTTTCGGTCAAAAAACAGGATCGAATTTTTTACTTAAAACTTTTTTGGTGGAATTATTTTGTTAAAATTTTTTAGTCGAATTTTTTGTTAACATTTTTTCGATCGGAGTTTTTTGTTAAAATTTTTATGATCGTAAAACAGGATAGAATTTTTTTACTTACAAATTTTTCGGCCAAAAAACATTGTCGAACTATTTTGTTAAAATATTTTTCGATCGAAGATCAGGGTCGAATTTTTTGGCGATTATGTGAAGAACAGAAAGGTCTTCGAAAATCGAATGCATTTTTCTCTAAAATTTAAATAGAGTCTAAACGGTTAATGTTATCAAAAGAAGTTACCAAAATAATCGATGTAAAATTAAATTATTTATCAAGTTTCCCATTTAAAATTTAATCAAAATTAATAGTTCCATGCATAGTAGGGTGGTCCTTAAAATGCATTTTTTTGAATTTCTTTGCTCCCAGGGGCTTAAACGCTTTCAAATTGATAAAAAAAAAATTCCTGAAAATTTGAGCTCTTAATATTAACTTTAAGATAGTCCGCACTCTCAGATAAGGTTTTTATGGGGATTACTTGGCAGAAAATGGATTTTAAGTAACAAATCGCGACATATTTATTGTAAATTTAATTTTCCATGTAAAAAATACCTCATACATATTTACTGCACCTATTGACTATTCGAATACTATGCCTTAATCTTTTTTCATATTATCCACTATTGCAGATTTTCGAGTATCACCATAATATTGCTTATATTCTGATAAAAATTGAACAATAAACTCCTATTTGCTATTATTTGCTATATATTCTAAATAGTATCAAGTCAATAGGTGCAGTAAATATGTATGAGGTATTTTTTACATGGAGAATTAAATTTACAATAAATATGTCACGGTTTGTTACTTAAAATCCATTTTCTGCCAAGTAATCTCCATAAAAACCTTATCTGAGAGTGCGGACTATCTTAAAGTTAATATTAAGAGCTCAAATTTTCAGGGAATTTTTTTTTATCGATTTGAAAGCGTTTAAGCCCCTGGGAGCAAAGAAATTCAAAAAAATGCATTTTAAGGACCACCCTAATGCAAAGTACGAATACAATTCTATTCATGTTCTGCACTACCACACTGAAAGTGTCAGTGTTTACAAACAAACATGTTTTCTTATCTCGTGCAATCTTTGTGGGATCGCCACGCGGTTGGCGTGTGTACCACGTTAGTCTCATTTTTGTCGTCAGGTGATCTGCACGCACATTATCTTCGATTGTGCGCGATTCATGAGCGTCGTGAGTGATCGGCCGTCGTATTCTTTTTGTATTATACGCGTATTTCATCGGTTCTACAATGTGCATAATTAAGGTCCATACAACTTATTGGATATACCAAAACGCAAAAATTTATATTGCATCAAGGTATGTTTTCGGATTTCTTGAGCCATTTTAAAATCAAATCCATTAATGACTTTACTTGTTTGGGAAATGTCTGTTGTGAACGGAAGACCAATTAAGTGAGTGACGGCAAAAGCAAATTAAAACTAAGGTATTCATTAATTTTAATATGTATTTGTTTTTATTTATAAATGGATTTTTAACTGAG